GAGAAATCCCATTCATCTTCCAAAAGTCACCTTCAATGCCATCAGCTCAGTGGGACCTTGCTCTGCCTTCATGCTGAGCCTACCGTCTCCATTTCTCCTTGTCTCTGGGCATGCACCTGCATCACAGCATCCGGTATGACACAGGTGATGGCTCATTTGTTTCTTTCTGGCACCCCAAAGGGTGTCTTTCTCAAGGATGGATGCTGCCTTCTTTAATCTTTGTGTCACACATCATTTATCTTTAATTATATGAAATACTTAACATAGGGTCATACACATACACATCTTTGTATTACTTACAGTAACCCTAGGAAATGGAAGTATTTCTACCTTTATTTTACACATGGGGAAACTGAGGTGTAGAAAGGTTAAATCAATGACCCCATCTACAGAGTTAGCAATTGGTGCAACCAGGATTTGGGCCAGCTCCAAAGTCCATAATCTTACACACAAGTAGATTTCCTAATAACTATAAAATCTGTGTATGAAAACTATCATATTTTTCTCTAAAATAAGAATGGTGTAGATTACAGCATGTGAAGGCCTATGCTTTTAGTTACTTAAGATACTGCTAATTTGCTAACACATATTTTTTTGGTATGCTATAGATCTGACTAGGAAAACTTTGAAGTCCCAATACAAAGTACACCTGATGTCAGTCACAGAAAAGTTACATAAAACCTCAGTTAGGTCACTTACCTATAGATAACAAGCCCCTAAGAAGTATCATATGAAGGTGAAGAGTAGTTGGGATAACCAACCCAATTGCAAAAAAAATATTTGCTACATGAAAAACTAGATGATGTACTTCTCTCCAGTTTTCACAAGTGGTCTCATTGGAAGGCACAGGTATGACACTTAACAACTCAGGTGTAAAGCTTGCTGCTGTTGATTCTACCAGTGGGCTGGACTCGGTATAATTCATCTTGAAAATTCCTGTAAAAACAAATAAACAAAAAAGGCAGATGTATCTTATCATCCCTGTAGGTATCATATCAAAATTATTTCTGTGAACTAAATGTTGGTAAATAGACTTATCTGGTACTTATGGATTAGAGACCCAGATTCAAATCCCAGCTGTGTTATATATAAATGTATAAACTTCCTTATCTGTTAAATGATAACGCCTCATTTATCTTTAAATATATGAAATACTTAACATAGGGTCATACACATACACATGTACACACAACATTATTTAATAGAGTTTTTTGTCATAAACCCACTGGTGATAATACATCCAAACACAGAAAAAAAATTTTTAAAAATACTCACAAAAAATTAACACCCTTGTATTTACTACTTGAAGGCTTAGGATATTTGGAAGGCTCTATTTTTACATGTAGTTAAATCATTATATCATATATGTTTACATTATTACATGACATATATCTCTATAATTATTTATACAGTCACAGATCTAACATACTCTTTCATTTTCTGATTTGAATCTCTACTTTTCCATAAAACTTCCAGTTGGTAGCATCTCACAAATTAAAAAGTAGTAAACTTCCAGTTTACTTATATGTAGAAGGGGTCATAAATATACCTTCAATTATTTAATGTTAAAACCCATAGCAAATACCTTTCAAAAATAGACATTTTTCATATGCTTACATAAACCTTAACACAAAGTGGCACTATTTCCTGACTATATTACTTGCTCTCTGTCTCTGGTACTGGGCAAAAACTTTCTGTTATAAATTATACAAATTGGTCCTTGACAAAAACTATGCAGAATATGTGAATTATCCTTTTTTTTCAGGAAAATCCCAAAGGAAGACCCAAAATATCTCTAAATTTAATTTAGGGATGTGTATTTCTTTCCAAATAGGTCATGCAGTTGCATGTACTTTTGTACTCACTGTTTTCAACAGACTAAGTAAAGGTGTTAGGTGTTATAATAATTGGTACAAGTTGGACATTTTAAAAAGATGTTGATAAATAAATGGGAAAGAATTCCACATCTCTTAGCATGGTGAAAACAAAACAAAACATACACACATTTATAAACTTGGAATGAAATAATCCAGTAGGGGTGAAAGATCTTTTCACATGACTCTGAATTAGCTTATAAATGTAAGAGAAATAGTTGACTTAGATATCTACTGCAAAAAGGAAAGCAATCATAAAAATCCAGCTTACTTTCCAAATGTCTGAATCAATACATAAAAATATAAACCTATTTGGATGGGGGAGGCAAGGTTATTTTAACAACTCTATATAAAGTTTACTTTTAAGGCCCAAGCCAGAATTAATCTCACAATTTCTACAGGAGGAGAATATTAAATGTACCCTTTTTATCATAAAGCTAACATCAATGTCAGCTTATATGTTAGAGTTACAGTGCTATTATAACTAACAATTCTAAGGCACTATAGAATGTATTTTGACTCCAAGTGTCTTACTTGTTCTAATGACTCTATGTTCTATATGTGGCAGGGACAATGTCATATTCATCTATGTATATCCAAGGCCTAGCTCTGTAGAAAAAATACTAAAGGCAAAAATGAAAGTTACAAAGCAGAGACATAAACCTGACCAACGCTTTCAGAAATCACTTTTCTGTCCCCCCAAATCCCAGCAGGAAAGATAAGACACTGTCGCCTTCCTGAGGTTGAGTCAGGTCTTTACCCCAAGACTCCGCGAGCCATGTAAAAGAGGGAGTCACTTCTGCAACTTCTTTCTGCTTTCTGAGGATAGAGGCAGCTGAACTAGCTGGTCTTTGATGCCTCTTCAAATTTTAATAGTCTGTGGCTCTAATACATGATTTTCTAAAGTTCATATCCCCCCCCATTCACAGAATTATATACCTGTATTGCCAACTAATCCACTGTAATTCAATTTCAAGATTTTAAAAGTTCTTCAAGTGGCACTAAAAGTACTAATTTCTTGTTCAAGAGAAATGACAGCAATCTATGACCTACTGACCCAAGAGTCAGAGAATAGGCATATGCAGTTTTAAAAAGATGGGATCATCTTGCAACACATTTTGATGTACCACTCCCTATTAGAGCTATATGTAGTTCATATATTTATTATAGTTATATAACTATGGAATTATATAAGAATGAAATCAGAATTAATATAATTTCTGCAGAAAGGAGAACAATACTAAAATCTATTAGTAATTCATATTATATTTATTACATATAAATAAATATTCCGTTACTTAATGCCGATAGAGATGACATCTTTCTGGTTTCAGATTCCTTTGCTCACACTGAACTCTCCTTATATAGGAATGAATGGGTATGTAATGAGATGGTTGTTAGACTGGTAAAGTGGCAAACATTCAGATTATTTTCTGACTAAATCAAGAGAAACTATCTTTCTCTTATTAGTTCAGAGTTTATTTCCTCAAATTACCTGCTTTAATTTAATCTGTGTGCTGGTTGTTAGCAAGTGGATGTTTAGCGAGGGCAACAGCTACATGGTGACACTAAACATTAACCTTCCCAAACTGCAAAAACGAAAAAGATAACAGCCTTGAGCAAAGGTCGTGCTCTATTCATTCCGTTATTCTCACTGAATTTCTGCACATCTTTGGAAGGGAAAAAACGACAGTAAAGTCTTTTGGCACTTATTCTTGCTCCAAAGGCAGGTAGTTTCTGCGACTCGACCGACCCACAATTCGTTCCCAAATCTTCGGAGAGCAGGGCTGTGTGAGTGGAGAGGATTACACCACCAAGTCATCAGCGCTCCCCAGGGGTCCCGCTCACCTGGCTCCTTACAGGAGTGTGTGTGTCACCTGTTCTCGCCCCCGCGCGCTCGGGCGGGAGGGCTGCGCAGGGGGAACGCGGCTCGCCACCTAGCACGCCGGGCGTCTGGGGGCGACACCCGGGCTCCGCATTCGCGCGGACCGGCTGGCCCTGCAGGGGGCGAGGAGCAGGCTAAGTAGGTTCGGGGTTCCGGAACCCCGGGCGTCGGGAGAGGAGTGAGGGAGCTCACGAAGGCTGCGCCCTGGCAGAGCGCGGGAACGGCACCCGTTCGGGTACGAGCACCCTCGTGCGCCCGTGCTGCCAGGGCAGAGTTGCGGCATTGGACCCCCGAGGGTCTCTGACCGGGGGAGACCCCGCTTCCAAGGACAGGGAATCCCGCAAGGGTGCGGCCGGCGCCGAGGGGCAGAAAGCGGGGCTCCGCGCGGCTCCCGCGCCAGGAGAAGGCAGCCGCCTCCGGGGCGAGCAAAGTTGCTTCCTGCGGAGCTGGCATCCAACTTTCGCTTCCCGATTTAGCCCCGGGAGCTCGAAGCTGCAAATAACCGGGTGCGCGGGGGGTGAGGCGGGGAGGCCAGCGGCAGCGACACCTTCCCGCAGCGCCTTACCTGGCTCCTTCCAGGCGCCGAGCCAGGCGGCGATGGCCAAAGTTTGGGGCGGCAGCGGCGGGGCGCGCGGCACACGGGCTCGACGGGCGCCCCACTCGAAACCCTCGGCTGGCCGATGTCCAGATGCTCCCAGGCGGGTGCCGTGTCCCGGAGCTTGCCGCGGCTTTGACTAAAATAGGCATCGCGGCGCCGGCGGCCGGGGCTGGGGCCGCATCGCGCACGCGCCCGCCGCCCCGGCGCCCCCGGCGGGCGGAGCCCGGGCCTCGGCCAGGACCTCCCGGCGCGGCTGCTCGGGTTGGTCCGCCGCGGCCGCAGCGCCGCTAGTTTACCTCACGGTTTGTTCCCCCTCGCCCCCTCTCTGCCTCGAGAGTCTTTCCCTGTGTGGGCAGGAGAGGGGCGCGGGCGGCGTCTTGTACCAAAGACGGCACACGCCAGCTCCTCCTGACGGGGAGGACTCGAGCACTTGGGTCTCAGCAGGGAGAGAAATGAGAACGATCTAGAATCTCCATTTCCCCTCAAAGTCGAACGGCCACTCGTAGAACTTCTCTCTGGGACGCTCCAAGGCTCAGGAGGGCGCGCAGCTCCGCGCCCGAGCGTCGCGCGGGAGGCGGGCGGAGAGGTCCTCAGGGACTCGGACTTGCCGCCCTCAGGCTCCGGTAGGGGGGGCAGGCCCGCCCCTGCTGCTGCCCCGGAGGCCCCGCGGGAAGGGCTTCACACAAGCCACCGTTTGTTTTCAAAGAAGGGTACTTGGCGGGTATTTGCATTCCAAAGGCGGTGTAGGGCCCTCCTCGGAGGCGAAACTCCGCCCGAATTTGCCACGTGAATTTTGTAGATTTGGGACCATACATTGGAAAACAAGATTCGGAAGTGTGCTCCATTCAGTCTTTACTGCTTAGAGAGGACAACAGTTTTTTGGTAAGAATACCCCCCCCACCTCACCCCTCCACACGCCTCCCCTCCCCCGAAGTGCCTCAAGGTGAGGTAAATTTGTGCCCATTATTAGGATGTGTAAACTGAGGTAACAGAGAGGTCGCGTGGCCTGCTTACAGCTAGTAAGGACCTGAGCCAGGATGTGTGAATCCGGCTGTCTGATTCCGGAGATTGCTCTCCTGTTTACTAGTTACACACCTTTGGTCACCTTCTACTTCTTGCTACACTGCTGCCTATGGGGAGATGTTAAATAGAAAAAGACAAGTTGCAAGAGCGTGTAGAGTTGGGCCTCCCTGGTGGCGCAAGGGGTTAAGCACCGCACTATGAAGCAATCTGCAGCTTCTGCAAGAGTTGGAACCCCTGCCCACCATGGAGAAACCCACATGAAGCAGCAGACCTCTCCTGACTCCCCTGCTGCTCCCCTCAGCAGAGTATTTCAGTCAGTCTGCCTGTTCTGTTCCCCACTCTGTCTCTGGTGAATCCTCTCACACACAGCTCCCTCCCCCCCCCCACATCTCTGGCCTGTACCCCAGCTCTTGTATGCATAAATAAATAAATCTTAAAAAAAAAGAGCGTGTAGAGTGCCTCAACTCATCCATGATAATAAGCTCTAAATGGATACATTGGTTTCCTCAGTATAAGCTTGTAAATGATTTCAATTCCCCACCTCACTCCTTACTTCCCTTCCTGTTTTCCTTTATCTCCCTCTTCTTTTCTTCCAACTTCTCTGGCTCTTCCTCCTGTTTCTTATGCTAAATTTTCTACAATGATTATATGTTACTTTGTAATTATTTAAAAACATTTATTAAAATTAGAGAACCCAGGTTCTGCTTTTGGGAAGCCAGACTCCAGAACTTAGCAGTTATTCTCTTTACCAAACAGATAAGGATGCCATGAGGCATTTAGAGCACAGAGATTGCATAGTCTTAGGAAAAGAGCATGGGACTCGATATCCTAAGATTTGATATGGCTCTGATAGATTCCATGTTTTCTCTGAGTCTGTGTTCCACAGAGAGAGTAGACTGAACTAAACTTGAATTCCTCACTATAACCCATCTAAGGAGTAAAAGCATAATTTAATGTTTAAATTCCTTACCATGCATGTATGAATACTACAAAATTCAAAATAAGAATCTAGACAAAGAAAATTAGGGTTTGGCTCTGTTCTGCTGGTCATGGAATGGTCCTGTTGAACAATTCTGAACACTCTTTGAATTGATGCAAGGAGGTAATTTGCCCAAAAGTGTAGAATGAAAAGGATATGAAGCATAAATAACAAAATATAGGGCAGCCATTCTCTTCTGCAAAATCTCTGGTTTGCAGTTTAGATTAATATAAGCAATCATTTCTACCTCTATGGGCACCTTAGTCTGCTTTTTACTGTCTGGACAAAACACTGATGAGATTTCAAATTTAGGTAGGATAAATTTTGTGAAGATAAAACAAGACAAGAGGGAGTCAGTTATTTTAAAAGTATGTCTAGTGCCTCCCTGATGGTGCAGGGGTTAAAGACAGTGCTATGAAGCTATGGCCAGGGAGCAACCCATGTGGTGACAGCAGACCTCTCCTGCCTTGTCCCTGCTCCCCTCAGCAGTGTATTTCAGTAGATCTGCCTTTTCTGCTCCCCACTCTGTCTTTGATGAGTCCTCTCACCACCACCCTGCCCCGTATCTCTGGCTTACACCCCAGTTCTTGTATGCATAAATAAATATTTAAATAAAAATAAAAGTATATGTATAATGTTAAGTAGCATTATCTTATCTTTATCTGCCCATGGTTTATGTCAGATTTTCAGCTGTTGCTCCTAATTGAATGGAGACCACAACATGAGATGTTCTCATAGCAAATAGTTTTGGTCAAACTTGGATTATAAAATGATTTAAGTTCTTCTTTTTAAATGTTATACTAACTTTTTCATTGACCAGCGTGACAACCAGCTTTACTGACTTTTAAAAAGTGACTAAACTGGGCCTCCCCGGTGGCGCAGCGGTTGAGCGCTGGGTTGCGAAGCTGCCCGCAGCCTCTGCAGCGCCGGTTCGATTCCCGGCTGCTCCCCGGCCACCGGAGGAGGGTCCCACATGGCGCGCAGACCTCTCCTGCCACCCGCTGCTCCCCTCAGCAGTGTACCTCGGTCCTTCTGCCTGCTCTGCTCCCCGCTCTGGCTCTGGTGAATTCTCTCACCCTCCTGCGCTTCTGACTGTCCCCAGTGCATGTATAAACAAAACAAACGAATAAATAAATAAAACATGCCTCTATAAAAAAAAAAAATAAAAAAATAAAAAGTGACTAAACTGAAACCTTTTTTTTTTGAAACCTTTTAAAAAATTAATAGACATTGTTTTCTTAGAGTAGTTTTAGGTTTATAGCAGATGGAGCAGATAGTTCTCGTATACCCCTTTTGTCACCTGCTCAATTTCTCCAACTATTAACATCCTGCATTGTTATGATGCATTTATCATAAGTGAAGAGCAATTGTTAATACATAATTATTAACAAAGTTTGTATGAGGATTTTTTCTCCTGTATCCTATGGGTTTTGTCAAATGTATGATTTGCCACCTGAGGTATAAGAAGTACAAATTTGGTGTCTGTCCCCAGTTCCTGACACAGCTGTCCTAAGACCCTTATAATTTCCTTTCATTCTTTTCATCTTTGACTCTAATCCTTGACATAGTGCTCCTAAAATCATCTTAATTTCCTACTTGATGGGAGGTGATAGGGGTCTTAACATGGAGTTCCTAAGTCTCTTAGAATTTCCTGGGTGACAGGAGTTTTTTTTTGTTGTTGTTCTAGTGTGGGATCCTGGGTAGTTTCAGAATGGGAACTAAAAAATCACTAGAAATCACTAGAAAAACCAAACCCTGAATTAAAAGCTTTCAACCCCTCTCTCCATCCTCTGAGAGACAAAGGGGGCTAGAAATTGGAATAGTAATTGATCATGCCTTTGTAATGATACCTTCACAAAAAACCCCTAAACTACAGGTTGGAAGAGCTTTTAGGTTGGTAAGGTCATGGGAATTCCTGATATGTAGCCAGACAGAAGTGTGAATAACCTGGGGGCCCATTACTTGTAATCAGCATCTGATGTGGGGAACAGTCTTATGGAACTGAGTCTTTAACCTGTGGGGTGCATGCTGACTCTGGATAGTTAGTGTGAGAACTGAATTGTCTGGAGCAGTGGAAAATTGGTTGGTGTGAGAAAAAAAACCCACACATATTGTATTAAAGGTGTTGTAAGAGAACAGTGTTCTTTTAGTAGTGATATATACCTACTATTATAAATTGTATCAAGTAGTTGCACTGTCCCTTGCTCTACCTGGTTATCCCTCTCCATGCTCCCCACCCTAACTCCTGCAACCACTAATTTTTTTTTTAAAGATTTATTTATTTATTTATTTATTTATTTATTTATTTATTTATTTATTTATACAAGCACAGTCAGAAGCACAGGAGGGTGAGAGAATTCACTAGAGCCAGAGCGGAGAACAGAACAGGCAGACTGGACGAAGAAATACACTGCTGAGGGGAGCAGCAGGTGCAGCAGGAGAGGTCTGTCGCGCCATGTGGGACCCTCGCCCGGTGGCAAGGGATCAAACCAGCGCCGCAGAGGCTGTGGGCAGCTTCACAGCCCAGAGCTCAACCGCTGCGCCACCAGGGGAGGCCTGCAACCACTTATTTTTAAAACTGCCTTCATAGTTTTGCCTTTCCCAAAAATGTCATTTAGTTGTCATCATATAGTATATTGAATTTTCAGATTGACTTTATCCACTGAGCAATATACATTTAAGCTTCTTCTATGTCTTTTCGTGTCTCAGTAGCTCATTTAATTTTATCTCTGGGTTTGTTACATTGTGTAGACACACCACAGCTTATTCATCTCTCGTTTAAGGGCATCAAGGTTTCTTCTGTTTTTTTGCAATTATGAAAAAAGTTTGTATAAACATTTGTGGGGAAGATTTTGAGCAGACATGCTTTTGACCCATTTGGGTAAATACAAGGAGTATGACTGTTAGATAATATGGTTGGACTATGTTTGTTTTATGAGAAACGACTTAAAAAGATACTGCCAAACTGTCTTCCAAAGTGGCTATATCATTTCCCACTCCCACTAGCAATGAGTAAATGTTTCTTTGGTTCCACATCTTGCTGCCATATTTTATTATAGGTTTTTAAATTTTAGTCATTCAAACAGGTATGGTTTCCTTTTAAATTGACCCAGTTGGTTGTGTATTTAAAATAACCGGTTTTTGGTCCAACCACTATGGAGAGCTGTGTGGAGATTTCTGGACCTACTAAACATAGAGCTTCCATATGATCCAGCAATTCCACTCCTAGGTATTTACCCAAAGAACACAGAAACATCAATTCCAAAGAACACCTGCACCCCTATGTTTATAGCAGCACTATTTACAATAGCTAAGCTTTGGAAACAGCCCAAATGCCCAAAAATAGATGACTGGATCAAGAAGATGTGGTACATATATACCATGGAATATTACTCAGCATTCAAAAAAGATAAACACATGCAATTTGCAGCAACATGGATGGCGCTGGAAGGGATCATGCTCAGCGAAATAAGCCAAAAAGAAAAAGAAAAATACCGGATGGTCTCACTCATAGCAGGAATCTAGAAAACTTAAATAAGGGATCAGGAAAAAGAATAACTACAAGAAAGTGAAAATCAAAATCAACAAAAAACTATGAACCAGAGACACTTATTGGGGGGTGGGGGCCGGGAGGGGAGGGATTGGGGTCAGAATGGGGCATGTGCAGTTGTATGGGGGAATATAAAAATAAAATTTATTATTTAATAAAAAAAAAAGAAAAAAAAATAAAATAACCAGTTTATGCACTGGAAAAGTGTTCTTAGCTAAATAAAAGACAGGAAGCATCTCCAAGCAAAAGAGGACAAACTTTCATATAGTTGCTGTGTCCCAAGTCCTGTAGTTTAAAAAATGGTTGAAGCAATGTCTAAATATTTCTAGTAAATTCAGGGATAAGCTCCCTTTACAAAAGCTGGATTGCATTCGATTCATTAGACAATAAACTTTTACTAAAAGCTTCATCTCTTGAATGAAACGACACACAACAAAGAGTTCTGGAAAGTGACCCAGAACATGGAGAGGATAGTGAGTTGGGAAGGAAGGTGAAAGGGTAGCATCTTTGGAATTAACAGCTGAATATGAAACATAGTTTTATATTTAATGAGCTGGATGCAGTAAAATCATTATTTAAACTTTTATGATTTAGTTACTTGCTGTAAAACTGGGAAAAGAAAGTTAACAGGATTGCTTTGACCTTTAAAGACTTTGTTTTTAAAAAATACCTATTATCTTGCTCTTGGTTGCATAATAGTCTCCTCTCCCCCTTAAAGTGTTCTCCACCTGATACATGATAAATAGAAATTAATTTCAGTAATCAGAATTTCTTAGTCTAATGAAATAGCTGAAATAGCCTCTGGACACATGAAATAACTAAATTGTAGTTTCATTTTTTAATATGTTTTAAAGAGATGGAACATAGCATATGTAAAACTCCGACATTTCAAACAAAACCTGCAAATTTCAAGACTGGTATATGCTAAAATTTCCAGTGGTTTGGGATTTCCCTGGAGTAGCCAGAAATGAGATGTTGGTTTCAAAAGCAAACTCATAAAATATGCAATAATATAGATTCTAGAAAATGGGCAATTGGCAGAGCTAAGTTACAGTAATTCACCATCTTAGGGTTGGCAGAAATGTATGTGCAATGACTGTAATGTTAAAAACCAGGCTTGATAATCCTTGGTTCTTTCTCACATAGTTTTTCTTCTAAAACAGAAGAATTTTATGTGAATTATTTGTTTTAAATATTAGCAATAGCAAATGAGGCCACAGATGAGACATTTAATGGGATTTCCTAATCTTTCAGGAAATTATTTCAAAGAGACAGAATTTATTATGAATAACCAGGTATAATAGAATCACATTTTTAAAAAGCATGGCAAGAAGATGCAAGAAGTGTCTCTGAATATCCACTCAATTTCCAAAGAAGTTCAAAAGCAGGGGGAAAGCTGGGGCCAGGTTAGATCCTCAAAACCAAACTGGATGCAGGGCAGAGGCAAATAGTTCCAGAAAGACAGGTTCTAAAGTCTGGCAATCCAAGTGATGACCTCTCTTATTTTTTTGTTCTTTTCCCTTTGGGAATTCCTAGAAACTCACAGAAGCTTGAAACCTGCCTATGAATTCCAAGTTAAGCACTTCTGCTTTTAGAGAAGAGATCACAACAACCCCTGAGTTGCAGAGACCGAAACTTTAAAAGGTACTGTCCTTTTTAGTATGTAGGTAACTTATTTATATGAGATAATCAGTGGTTAGAAAAGGAACACTTATTAATGATTGAAAAATAACTTGAAAATTCCTAATGTGAAATTTGATGGTTTAGATAAGAGTTTGATTGAAAATGAAGCCATGGAATAACTTTTCATCTCTTATCTGGTGAAAGCAGAACTTTTAATCATACTATCTACTGAGCAATATCATTCTGATTTGCAATTTATCTTCAAAAAAGGACTAGTTTTGGAGGTAAATGTGAGACCTGATAATAGCCAGCCTGATAATTAACATAGAGCTGGCAACAAAACCCAAAGCAAGGCATTATAAAGATGGAATAATAAAATCAAGTTGTGAATAATGCCACTGCCATCCAGCATTAATTGATGTGCAAAAGCATGAAGAGTTCCCAGGAGAAAAGAATTATTTAAATGCAAATTTTTATTATTACTACTGCTTAAATTGTTGTAATAAATTCATGAAAATAAGACATCTTTCTAGCTTAATGCAAATATAAACCCTAATAAAATATTTATAAGCCACATACCAACAGTTTTATCATTTGGCATTTAAACTGGTAAACAAAACAAAACATTTCTTCAGTCCAAGAGCAGACCTATTCAGTACAATTTAGAACCACACAAAAGAATTCTGATGATATTTGGTTTGAAAACTATAGAGACCTCTGCATACCTCTGCAGGAGATAAAAGGTCATACTTTGAAAGGCATGACTTTTAGGGTCATTCTCTTTGGCAAATTGGAAGAATAGAAGCACTTTGGGTAGCTCTTTTTCTGACAGGTGACCATTTTGGTTTACATGCTACATCTAAAATTATTTTTATGCATATCACTATGCAGTTTTACTGCATATCACTACTTGGGGATTTCTTAATATCTTTTTATATGAACTTCACCACTTTAAGTGTGAAGAAAAAGTGTAGTGAATATAATGTTGCAGCACAAACTAAAACTGGAACACCAAGGCTAACAAGAAGCAGGATTATTGCACCAGTGCTGGCTCACTGGATTCACATCCCAAGGCTGAACCCCATTTGCAGGAAGTTATGGTCTTATATACACTTTTAGTTTCTACAAGGTTCTGGGTAGGTTTGCAAATCATGGTTTTACATGGTCAGCTATGACATGATCACATACAAGATATGACATGATCGCCTTGTATACCAGGTATACCTGGTATACTTTGTATGATCACATACCTGGTATATATGTGAATTGTATACCAGGAAGTGAGCTGCATACCAAGAAGTGAGTAAAAGGTTAGTTAAAAGTTAGCTGTCACAGGTCCATCTTGCTTCAATGTAAGTTCAGGAAATGACCGCTAAAGCCTTAGAGCATTCCAGTGTGAATCAGGAAATCATGTGACTGTCTAGTGAAGAAATAAAACTTCTTATAATGTTGTGTGGGAAACAAATATAATAGAAAATATTACTATTAATGACCATTATAAGATGACATATGATGAAATCATTAAAAATAGCTTGGCACTTAACACATTTGTAATGAAAATATGTAGGCATGTGATTCCTGTATCTTTTAATGTGTTATTACAGATATGTGATTCTCCAGAATAATAACCCCCTACAATGGCTTTTATCATTTGCTACCCCTTATATATTTATGCACAGCACATCCTAAATTACTATGGTCAATAGGTTCTTGGAAAGTTGGACTTTAGGCAAAATGATGTATAACTAAATCAGGTCCTCATTTAATAATGTCCTTTCATTCAACAATGGCCAGAATTTTTTCCCCATAATCACCTATAGGCAGTTCCCACAGTCCATTGTGTTGCCTCCCTACTTTCTTCCCACTCCTTTCCCTCCCCTTTTCCCTTGGTAGCCTCAGTTCTATAGTCAGATTTCTAGGGTTTGTTGTTAGTGTGGGTTCATCTGACCCTTTGGTTTCTCTATATTACACATATAAGTGACACCATCTGATCTTTTGTCTTTTCCTTCTGATTTACTTTGCTTAGCATAATCTCTTCCAGTTCCATCCATGATGTATTTTAGCAAATGACAAGAGTTTATCTTTTTGATCACTTAGTCATATACATACACAATGTAATATGTATACCACATCTTCCTGATCCACTCATCCACTCCTCTGTATTTGGGCACTTAGGTTGTTTCCATAGCTTTGCTATTGTAAATTGTGCTATAGTAAACATAGGAGTGTATGTTTCCCTTAATTAGTGTTTTTGTATTCTTTGGGTATATACCTAGGAGTGCAATTGCTGGGTCATATGGTAGATCCATTTGTAATATTTTGAGTCACTTCCATACTGTTTTCCATAGGCAGTGGACTAGTCTACATTCCCACAACAGTGTATGAGGGTTCCTTTTGCTCCACATCCTCACCAATACTTGTTTCTGATCTTTTTGATATGGGCCATTCTGACTGGTTGTGAGGTAGTTTTTTTATTGTGGTTTTGATTTGCATTTTCCTGATGATAAGTGATGATGAACACTTTTTCATGTTCCTGTTGGTCATCTCTGTCTTTGGAAAAGTTTAACCCTTCTGCCCCATTTTTGATTGGATTATTTGTTTTTGTTGAATTGTTTGATTTTTTTTTTTTAAGATTTATTTATTTATTTATACAAGCACTGGGTACAGTCAGAAGCGCAGGAGGGCGAGAGAATTCACCAGAGTCAGAGCGGGGAGCAGAGCAGGCAGAAGGACCTAAGTACACTGCTGAGGGGAGCAGCGGGCGGCAGGAGAGGTCTGCACAAATATTTTCTCCCCTTCAGTAGGTTGCCATTTTGTTTTAATGATGGTTTCTTTCACTGTGCAGAAACTTCTTTGTTTGATGTAGTCTTTTTTTTTTTAAGATTTTATTTATATAAGAACTGGGGTACAGGTCAGAGGCACGGGAGGGTGAGAGAATTCACCAGAGACAGAACGGGGAGCAGAACAGGCAGATTGACTGAAATCCACTGCTGAGGGGAGCAGCGGGTGAGACAGGAGAGATCTGCTGCCATGTGGGTCACCACCCTGGCCAGCGATCAAACTCTGCCGTGGCTGAGGACAGCTTCATAGTGCTGTGGCTTAACCCTTTGTGCCACCAGAGAGGTCCCTCATGTAGTCTTGATTGTTTATGTTCTCTTTTGTTTTTCTTATGCTGGAAACAAATCCACAAACACATCTCTAAAGTGTGTTTTGTCTATATTTTCTTCTATGTATTTTATGATTTCAGGTCTTATATCTAAGCTTTTTATTCATTTGGAGATGATTTTTTGTGTATGGTGTAAGATAGTGGTCTACATTCATTCTTTTGCCTGTGACTGACCAATTTTCCCAACACCATTTATTGAAGAGGCTTTCCTTGCTCCAATCCAATATATATTTTTGGCTCCTTTGTCATGGATAACTGGCCATATAGGTGTGGGCTTATTTCTGGGATCAGTTCTATTCCATTGATCTGTGTGTCCTGTTTTGTCCCCGCTCTGACTCTGGTGAATTCTCTCGCCCTCCTGCGCTTCTGACTGTACCCAGTGCTTGTATAAATAAACTATACAACTATAGCTTTATACTATAGTTGAAGCCCATGAGGGATTACTTTTAAATGATTGGCTAAATCAGAAGAAACTACTTTTAAGTGGCAAGATCAAGTGTTTTCTGTCAATATTGGAAAGGAGATGGGAGAGCCAGAGATCACTGACCAGTTAAAAGATTGTGTGTTTCACATATATCTGGTGAGCATCTTCTCAATTTATGCCAGCTGCACATTGTATTCATTGTTTTTCAAAAATAACTTAATGAGCATTTGCACATTTACTCATTGGACCAAGGATGCTTTTTGCACAGAAAAAAATAATTATAATTGAAGTATGCAAACTGCTTTGGGTGAGGGAGAGGAGTTTCTGAGCTATATACTTTTGAGAAAAATTAAACACGCAGATCAGTCTAAACTAAATAAGGTTGCAAATTTTCAACATATAGAGTAATCTTGGAACCTGAAAAATAATAGCTATGTGTTTTGAACAAGTACTACTCAAACTCATTTCAACAATATCAGCAAGACATATTGCTTTGAAAATTATTTAAGAAATAAAAATTCTGTATCAAGGGAAGAAATGACACTATATTACAGATTTTGTATTTTATTTCATGATAAAACTACTGATGGCACTGCATAATTGAAGTCAAATTTGGGGGAGATTCAGGAACAGATGCAATTACTTTCCTTCTACTCAACAAATATTTACTAAGCAGCTACAAAGTGCCAGGCACAGTTCCTAAAAGATGACCATAGATGGGTAGGGAAGTTTCAAAATATAATTCCCTTTCTTAGGGAAACAGATACTGTGCTTGTGCCTTGGTTAAGCTTTTATCTCAGATGAACCAGTTTATATCCCACAGTACTACCCTATTCTTCAGAAACTCCAACTTACATCAAACCAAAAAATATCTTCTGTATCTTGGTGATCTCATCTGCTACCATTTGAAGAAACTTCAGTTTTCAAAAAGTTTCATTGTATCTAAGTTTTCTCTTAGAAAAGAGAGAAAACAGCACTAGAAGGGACACTGAATTAACTTACCTGTAACATAAGGGGAGGTGGTTGTGGTAGGTAAAGCTTGAGGGTGAGATTTACTAAGCTTCCCAATAAACTTTTTGGAGTGATCTCCAGTGAGCCATGGAAATATCTGAAATGCAGCTGGACAGATGCAGAATTTAAAGACGTTATTTAAAACTGCATCAAAGAGGGGCCTCCCTGGTGGCGTGAGGGGTTAAGACGCAACCTATGAAGCTATCCGCAGGCTGTGCAGCACGAGTTTGATCCCCCTGCTGGCCAGGGAGCAACCCACATGGCTCAACAGACCTCTCCTGACTCGCCCGCTGTTCCTCTCAGCAGTGTACTTCGGTCAGTCTGCCTGTTCTGTTCCCCAGTCTGTCTCTGGTGAATCCTCTCACCCCCCACACTTCTGGCCTGTACCCCAGCTCTTGTATGCATAAATAAATAAATCTT